CGCGTAATCTGTCTGATCCGTTTGGAATCTGGATGATACTGTGTTCTCATTTTCTTGTATCTGGTTGGTTTTTTTGACGACCTCATGCTGACAGTTCTGTTCCTCCGTTGTGATGGGGTCATTTCTACATTAAATGAAGCACTGTAAGAGAACCGCAAAGGAACATTACAAACTGAGGTCAGTCAAGCATGCGATCATCAACCCTTTGGGCGTATATATAAACTGTTCTTCAAGTACGTCACAAAACACTGGGAACTATTGTCAAGCATGGCAAGTCATATCACCTGTCCAGTGGATTTCAATGAAATCAGTGCTTGACGGCTTAACCGTAGCTACAGTAGTTGACGGACTGCTTTTGTCGCGATACTGTGATAGACGCAATTATTTAGGGTACTGTAAACTTGTATAAAACAAGTATTTTTGTTTTTGAATTATCAAACTTATTCCGCGTTGTCGTGGATTTTTTGGAGTAGGTTTATGTTAGGCCGAATTCCACACGGATTCCGCTTTATCGCTCGCACTCAGGGCTGCTACGGCCGAGAAGTTCATCCCACGCAAGATTGGCCGAGAATTCGGGAAGCTCGCTGGTCCGGCATCAAGACGAGATCCAATCGGTCGAAAGTCTGAACCCAACAGCCAATCTAGTATTGACCAAATGCCGGTTGCCAATGGCGCATCCAGAACGCGTCAGAAATTCCAGAAAGTTATAACCGCCTACACTATATATATACGAAGCGCTGTACAACCGTTCCTGACTTCGTTTGGGGCGTTAATATACCTTGTGTACCTTTGGTGGTTGTGTTTGACGTAAATGCTAGCTTGGGAGGCTCAGCCCGAGAACTAAGCTGAGAGAAATAGCGTTACTACAGTTTAATACAGTCAACTTCACATCTGTACATCTGTTATGAGCTCATTGATTAAAGTGCGAACTTAGTGACTGGAAAGTCCTTGGTTCAATCACAATCCCGGCATCCTGACTGTTCCTGTCTGGGCTTGGTCGTCCCGGTAGTGTAGCTGAGGACCGATACAAGTGAATATCGTTTGAACGTGGAATCTTGTAAGAATACAGTTGTTTTCGCCCTCCAAAGTAGGCGTTTTTGCGACAAAACCTGGTATGCGCTACTTTGTGGCTACTGTCCGCGCGCATGCGGCCTAATCTATTTTGTTTACGGTAGGCGCGAGCAGGTGGTGGAAAATTAGCCAGCACTTGACGTCTGGTCCTTTGGATACTCTCTACCCATTATCAATTACGACAAAGACAGATGTAACTCAGATAATCTCCGAGGAATCACTTACCAGTAAGGCACATCACACCAGCAGCTGGCGGTTTATGGAACCAGATGGGGCGCATTCTTGATCATATGACGAAAAATGTGACGTAAACAATTCATTTGATCCCAGCATAGTGAATTAACTTTCCAGCTGCAAGGGCATACATTCCACATTTCAAAAACAGCGTCCCCACCTTAACACTATTTCCCTATTACTTGTACGATATCACGTCAGAAGAACTAACCAGCAGCAAGCTTGTGTTTAGAGCGCGTCAAGTCGTGGAAAATTAAGCAACACAAAAGTGGTTTATTCTTCTCGCAGATTCTGATGAAGCAGCTGTATAGTTGCGAGCCAGGTAGTCAAGGTTACGCGCTAGTTTCATGCATTAGTCTCAACCGATTTTCAAGCAACAAACTCCGCTGACCCATGTTTAACCGATTCGGGGTGCAAATCTGCTGTGGACCACAGTCTCCTTAATGCCTTCTAATTATTGTGAACCCCGGTCTGGATAACCGATTGATAGCCTGGTGCGCTTGGCCAAACCGGAAAAAGTCAATGAACGTGCGAGCCAACTGCTCTACTGATCACTGTCGAGTAAAAGCGGGTCAAAAATGTGATACTAAGAATACAACTCATCTGTCAAGGGCGAATGAATTGAAATCTGTCTCAACGAAAACGGTTATTCTATTGGCTGTGATGTAGTCCCGTTACGTTTGGAGCTGGTTCTCCCAATAACATCATATTAGTCATTTCGAGTGTTATAAACTTAATTTCGGTCCAATAAGACAGGCGGCTTAGTTTTTGGTACCAAGGTCTGAGTGCAAGAGAAGCCTAAAGGGATTTTCATAGCATTTTTGTATGAATAGTCTTCCTTTCGTCCAGTTGGGCCCATAGTAAAAAAGAGGAAGAACTGGGCAGGAGTTTCACTCTTAGTATGGTTTGCCAGTAGTATCGTGCCCCGGAGATCGAACTCTGACCGCCCGACGTCTGGGATGACCTTGTTATTACGACTACAGCGGCGTACACTGGATGCATTTGAATCGCCACGCTTTAACAAGAGAAGGCGTTCAGGCTTGGAGAGCTTGACTGGTTTTCCCTGACTTCCTGAACGATGACCGATTATCTGTTAGGGTTGTGTAGATCGAGGAGGGCCCACATGAACCTTTTGGACAATCAACTACACCTGAACTCAAACGGCTTTGATGAAATATTCTTATGGAGAGCATGCAACGCAGTAACTAGAAAACTTTCTGTACAAAGCCCTCAAGCAAATTGCGTCCACCTTCAAATAGAGGATAAAATTTCTATTGACTAGCTGTTTTGGTGAACTTAACCGCTGGAATAGGCTAATAACGGAGACGTGAAGTGCTTTCTTCACAGAAGAAACGTTGAGTTGGATTTTCTAACTTCGGGGATTCTCCCGTAATTTTTCAAACGGATATCTGAGCATGTGGTGCGATACCACACACGTGTTATGAATTCTTCCAAGTGACGACTCCCTTCTCGCCATTAAGAATAGTGTTTTATTGCCTGCCCCGTGGTATGGATTTACTGAGTACTGAGGCAATTTATTTTCCCTCTCCTTCTAGTGAGGCGTTTCATCTGATCCTGGCTTTCTCCACGACCAAATTCACTTTTATCGGGCCTTACCTGAAATAGCGTTTCATATCTTGTCTAGATGTCACACGCAACTCAAAAGGTTCTTGAAAACTGTCTAACAGTCCAAGGGCCTGACTCATCGAGTAGACGTAGTCCTCGAGTTCTCCTCAACCTTTTGTTATACTTGAATTACATTTGAAGCGTTTGCGATGAATAATCTCATTTGTAGATGAATTTCGTTTTGAAAGGAGATTCAAGTGAATCCAGTTGAATCTCTCGTTTATGAGGATCCGCTTCTTAGTAGTGTGCTGGTTCAGACCGCTTCAAGTTTCAGTTGGTACCGCCGCAATACGTTTTTGTCCAGAACTAATACACTACTGAAAACTCATGAATCAAGTCATCATAAACAAGAGATTTGGTGTTAGTTTGGCCATACATGATACATTAACTTCACCAAAATACTACCACTGGGGTGTATAAAAATTGTCCGAATACATTTTAGAAACTTGCCTGCAATACTTTTAACATCTCAAACAGATTTCGAAATTTTTATGGCTCATCGGATAGGCATTAGGCAGATGAACGAGCTTTTGCGAACCACTATGAATCCAACAGAGAATCAGCTGAAATTCACCTGAATCCCTCTGGGTTACACTGTTCTTTGATTGAATGTTTTAGCCACAGATCGATATATGTTTCGGCTGGATCGATAAACAAAGACATCTGCAGCATTATCCGTGTGACGTGTGAGCTGTGTTCATTCACGCAAGTCGCATTCTTGTGGTTAGTGACAGTGAACAACAATCAGTAAATAGAACTAACATTTCAATCCCATGTCTGGGTTGTACCGATAGCAGAGACAAGTTATGTTACGGTTATACAGATGAAACTAACAACAACGAATCTAACTAACCATTTCAGCAACGACGTCGGTCAGCGCGTTCAACGTTTCCCAACTATGATCCGGTAGGAAAGTTCCAGAAATCAGCAGCTATAACTGCCAGTTGAACGGTTGAGAATGATGAAAACCAAAGTCTCCTTGGCACGCTTTCTCCCACGAATGCACACATTTTGACGGTAACTTTATTACCAATGGTTTTTTTCACTGAGGTTGCAAATAAATTTCAAATAATAGATAGACTGAGGCTTGGTTTCCGCGAGGGACTCAACTGAAACTCTCGTTTGTGATATTCTACAACTGAATATGCTGCACATAGGCCGCCTTATGTTTCACTCGGCACGATATTCGAGATATCGCAGTATATTTTCATAGAGGAAACTACTCACAAGGTTGCTGAAAACTCTTCAACAGTCCAATTTGGGAAACTCGGGGACTGCACCTATCTGATGAGCCTCAAGAAGGGCAAAGCTGGTCGTGGGTTGTCGAAGAGTTTTCAGCAACCTTGTGGGTAGTTTACTTTATGAAAAAAGACTGAGGCTTGTTTACATTAACAATTGTGAATCATTGCCCTAAAAATGTAAACAGGAATCCTGGAAGACCGCTATGCCTGCGATCACAGCAAGTACAGTTCTTTGGAAAACGCCGGGACAAGTGCTTCTCATAAGTAGTTAACCTGCTGGTACATGAAAACCGATGAGGAATAGTCATGAATTTGGAACAAACTCTGGCATTACTGCAGCTTAAAATGTATCAGCCTACCAACAAGCAGTCAATGCAAAGCAAAGATAGGCACAGAAATACAGGCATCCAGGGAGTCGACTAGATATGGCTCACTGCAACAGGGGTAAGGACCACTTGACCTGCGTTCTTTTGGCACATGAATTCGGCGCAGTTCCACCATGGTCTTTGCTGTGGACCACAGTCTCCTTAATGCCTTCTTAGTACCGTGAACCCCGGTCTGGATAACCGATTGATAGCGGTTGGCCAAACCGGAAAAAGTCAACGAACGTGCGAACCGGCTGATCTCTGTCGCGTACAAGTGGGTAAAAAAGCGATACTAAGAATACAACTCATCCGTCAAGGATGAGTGAAGAACAACCAATCAAATCTGTCTCAACGAAAACGTTTATTTTATTGGTTGTTATGTAGTCCCGTCAGGTTTGGAGCTGGTTCTCCTAATATCGCCCCTCTGAAGTTGAGTAGTATAAGTCTTCTGTCTCGGACTAACTTGAGTGTTTGTCACTGGCATTCTACGCGTCGACCTTCGTAATTGTTGATACACAGGCACCTCTGACAGCTGCTCCGCAACCTGAGTGTCAGTTGTCCTTCCTCTGTTCATGTCCAGGTGTTCTATCAAAATGTTCAATCTCTGTGTGGGTTGCGAATAAGCTTCTTTCAACTGATTTGCATGACGAACCAAAATTTCGGAACGCACGCGAACATGATAGATGACATTTCCGATTCGCCGTGGGATTTTGCCTTGACGCCAAGGTGCGCGATTACCACGATAGTCCTTTACTAGCACTCTCTGTTCGATGTCAAAATGTCGCCACTTTGCATCATGCTTGCGATTATAGTGGGACTCCATTTTCTGATTTGATGATGCCACCACCTCCTTTGGAGGCTTCGGAAGATCAAAGGTGCTTCTAAGAGTGCTGTAGAGTAGTGTCTCTGCAGGCGATTTGCCCTTCGGTGTGGACGGGTTTGGAGTCAGGCGGTACATTAAGAGGCGTTGCTGTGGTTTCTTCCCCTTCCGCCTTAAGCAAAGCTCTTTTGAAAGTATCCTCTAGTCGTTCTTCCATACCGTTTTATTTTGGGTGATATGAGGGTCTTCTAACGTGTTCAATCCCACTGGCAATCCAAAGTCCGCGAAGTGGGACAACGTGGACTGTGTCCCGTTGCCAGATACGAGCTTTTCAGCATAGCCGAAGAATTCCTGCAACTTTTAAATCGTTGCTGTGGTCATCGTTGCCTTCATGGGAAAAATCTCCGGCCACTTGCTGTAAGCGTCCGCGATAATGAGGAAACGTTGACCGTTCACGGGACCTGCGTAGTCCACATGTGTCCTTGACCATGCACTTTATGGTACTGATCAAGAACGGAGTTCACACTTTCTAGGAAACTTTGAAGCCAACGCTCATTGGTGGCAAGATTTGACGATCGTGTCGACTTGGTTGTCCATATGAAGCCAATAAACATAGCTTCGGATCAGTCTTGATATTACTGCCTTCATGGAATCTCCGGCCACTTGCTGTAAGCGTCCGCGATAATGAGGAAACGTTGACCGTTCACGGGACCTGCGTAGTCCACATGTGTCCTTGACCATGCACTTTATGGTACTGATCAAGAACGGAGTTCACACTTTCTAGGAAACTTTGAAGCCAACGCTCATTGGTGGCAAGATTTGACGATCGTGTCGACTTGGTTGTCCATATGAAGCCAATAAACATAGCTTCGGATCAGTCTTGATATTACTTCTGCAAGATATTGGCGGATAAAAAAAGGTTTCGCGGGCGACGTACAGTCCATACCGAACCTGAAACTTTCTGAAATGTCCCAAATCACCCATGCCATTCAATTTAGGGTTGGCAAAACTGAACGAGCGAACACATATGAGACGAGATTGTACGTATTTTGCTGTCAATGCTCTTTTGATTCCGTACTGCCATCAAAAGTAAACTAGAGAGTTTAGATAAAACAATAAAAACCATACTTCTCGCCGTACAATGATCTCCGATACCTGAACAGTGCTAGTTTACTTTGTGAGAGATAGTGTTGGACAGCAAGCACACTTCTGTCAGCAAACGGGGATTCTCTGACGAAATACACTCATTCACAAACAACTTTGGTTCTTCGACAGAATCAGCTGGAACCCAGCCGAATCTCTCGTCCACGGTTTTCCTGTATTCACAATCCAATTTTAACAGGTGGGAGTGCAATCAACGGCCTCAGACTAGTCTTATCTTCACCCGAATACCATTCTTTACGGCAGGTGAATTCGATTTCAAATTTGCTCCTTTAGAAAAATCCGACTCTTGGTGAATCACAGGTTTGAATAGCCATCAATTCTGGTGGAAGATTTAGGAATTACGGAAAGACAAGCCTGAAATTTGGTTAGAAGGGAAATTTAATCCGCACCCCTAAAAAAACAGGTCTTCAGGACGCGTTGGTGACTCACCTAGTATTCTTCCACACTCCATCTCTTTTTAGCTGTCAGACAGTTTAAGTGGAAGGATAAATTAGACTCGCTGGATGCCACTAATCCTGCTGTTTGGTTAGACTAGTAAAAGGTTAGTTACGGATCTGCGATTCGGCAAAAACAAAACACTGGCGGAAAATGAAACACACAGAAAAACGATCAGAAGCACTGGGAGGAAGGCGAAATACACAGGGAAGTCCATCTTTAAGATAACTACACACAAGGGACTATTGGAATGATCCAATAACAACTGTGAGGGAAACCTGAGGTAAGGAAATCATGGCACAGACATACCCCGAGTGACGTTTGATTTCTCCGAAGGAGAATTAATTCTTGGTGAATGTAAGTAGTGCGAAAAATAATCTTTGCAGTAGCACCCAAATTTTCCGAATTCATTCTTAGGGTCAGTCGACTTCACTATGAATCGACATACCCGATTGAAGTGGATGCCTTTCAACACAGATGATCAAATGCAGTATTCGGAAAGCGATCGATTCTCCTGGTAGACGCTTTTGGGATCGTGAAAAGTAGTTTCGAATCCGAGGAGTGATCCACGTTAATCTCTTTCCACAATCATTCTCCCCTAGGTTGTGCCTTTGTATACAACAAGACATCATAACCAGTTTATAAAATTTTCCTAAAATTGAAAGGTGAAAGAAAAACTAAGGCACGAATAACTAACACTGACCTCACACGGTTTACTAACAACTGTAAAAGAACCCAATTTCCGAATATTTCAAATTTGCATTAAATCATTCTGAATCCAATTTTAATGTAAGAAATTCCTCCTGATAATAGACTGTTCTTAATTTGATTTCATTCAGACACCCATGGGACATTCAAGTGGCACAATTGAGTTGATTTTCTCGACAAGTTCTTAGGGACGCTTCTTTCTGAGAACCAAATTGTATTAGTAGGAATAAAACATTGATACTACTGCCAGCAAGTGCTACTCAAACGGTTGCTTCAAGCGAAACTTTTATCAGGAGATTGGGAAAGTTTTTTTCGCAAAATGACAAAACTCCGGAAATTGTGCGGATGTTTTAGACAAATAGTTATCATTCGAAGTGTGTGTGTACACCTGATCACGTGATGCAAACTGTGTGACTGAAGGACAAATGGTGATATATCATGTGCAGTCTCGAAATATACGCCTCGCTCGTTTGTAAGCTACCCTGGACCGTGCGGTCTAACGGTTCAAGTCCGTCCGAACGATGAAAGGTGGAAAGTCTCTAGAAATTCCTTATATGCCTGCTAGTTATTTCAACACGGATTGAACGTTTGTATACGGCTTCTAGGATTTTTAATATCAGGCGTGGTTAGCTCTCACTCAGACAAGATACCTCTCATCGTTCAGTACAGAAACCACATCACATGATCAAATATTGACCGGCTCCCCGAGTTGTGATTTCTCAAATGAAAGTTTTACTCAATTTTGGAAACTATTTTTCGTCTGAGCTACTTATCGATCGGTGGTCGTGTGAGGAGATTTCGTCCTGTCATTGAAATCCGCTCAGGCCGAATAGATGAGAAGCAATGTACAGCTGTTTTATTTCAGTCGATGATTGTGAAGTGAGCTGTGCGCTTCCGAACTGATTGATTCATAACTGCCACAAGATCCTACCAATTCTCAGTGGACTAAATATCGTGGGATTTGTTATACTGTTCACTTAAACAACACTTTCCTTGACTACTGATATAATACCGTCCTTACCTGCAATAGTACGAAGGAATGTCATAGTGTAACGGCAAATGTTGATGGAGTATGAGTTACTGATTAACCGGGAATCGGTGATTGGGGGCTGAGGAGGCCCCGGGATAAACTTTAACGGTTGCTATCATGATTGTGTAAAATCTAATAACGGATAGAAGTATACGGTGTGTTGAACGATGTGTACTGATTTGAGGATAGGAAGCTCAAAATCACTAACGAGGCTGGGAAATTTACTGCCCTAAAAGGCTTATTGACGTGCAGGATGCAATTAGAACGGATATAACTCCACTGTATTCCTTAGAGCAGATATTTCCAGAACAACCTTATGCAAGCGACTAACGACAAGAGGGCTCATCCAAGGTCATTTAGGTTCTAATGACGAGGCAACCGGACAGCGGAAGCAGATATCAGCGTGCGTATACGCCCAGGGTTTGAAGATTGTCCCGAAAATTGTAGATAAACTGTACACCAGAGCGGTTCTTTGCAATTACCGGATAGTAAGTGTACGAAAGCCAGCCGTCCCTAATAACTGAACACCACATCATCTGGACGGATGTGTCACGTGCAGGACACGGACCAGACGAAGGCATGCCCTGATTGGTCAGAATGCTAGCCAGTCCGAGTCAAGCATCATTGACTCGACGCTT